TCCCAATATACACTCAAAATGTAATTATTACAAATTTGTAAAAGGGTTACAAAAAAGAGATAAANTTCAGCTAGCCCATTACTTCTAGGGTAATGCGGACTACTGTAGCGCATTTCTATATTGTTAAGTTTTGCAAACTGTCTAAACTCAAAAGATCCAAATGGTACATTATCACATATTATCACTTGAGGAATTCCATGAGTTGAAAAAATAATTTTTAAAATATTAATAATATGCAAAGCAGTTTTATTTTTTAATTGTTTAATCTCTATCCATTTGGAATAATAGTCCATTAAAGCAAGATAATCATTTCCTCCAAAAGTTAAAATATCTACCCCTACTTGTTCAAATGGTAAATCAGGTATATTTTGACCTATTAATGGCTCTTTTATATTAGACACTCTATATTTTTCACATATCTTACATTTTACAATAAAATTTTCAATTTCATTAGACATGGCTGGCCAATAAAATACTTCTTTGGCTCTTAATTTAGATTTTACTATACCTTTATGATCAATGTGTAGTGCCTTTAACACTTTCCCTCTTAAAACAGAAGGAACTACTATATGGTCTTTAAAAAATATGATACCTGAATCACTCAATATGTCATTTCTTAAATTCCAATAGTGCCTTATTTCTACAGGCACATGCTCCTTACTATTAGGCCACTCTTTACTAAGTTCAAGTACTTGTTTTAAAACTGAGTCTTTTGCTGTTTCCTCACATAACTCACTTTTAGTTAAACTATTTTCACTATTAACAAAATGTATAGTACCTTTTATGTCAATCTCATTATATGTCTCGCTACTATGATTTCTAGATAACAAGTCTGCTACATACATATATTTACCAGGCAAATAAGTCAATTCTAAATCATACAACATTAACTTAAGTCTCATTTTTTGTATTCTATTTGATGCAATTTGACATAAATTTTTTTTACATATAGATACCAGAGGAGAATGATCTGTCTGTATAATTACTTTATAACCATAAATAAAATTGTGAAACTTTCTACAAGCAAAAACTATGCCTAACATTTCCTTTTCTATTTGAGGATAATTTTTTTCCGTATCATTAAGACTTTTTGAAGCAAATGCAACTGGTTTATTTTGTTGTAATAAACAACAACCTACCCCTGTACTTGAAGCATCTGTTTGTATAATAATAGGGAGATTAGGATTAAAATTTGATAAAACTGGTGCATTAGTAATTAGTGTCTTTAACTCATTTAATGCATTAGAATGATGTTGAGTCCACAACCATATTATATTTTTTTTTAACAACTCCCTTAAAGTTGATGTTACTTTAGACATGTTTGGTATGAATTCTCTTAGATAATTACACATACCTAGTATGCGTTGCAACTCTATTTTATTTTTTGGCTCCTTTAAATTTTTTATAGCTTCTATTTGACTTTCATCTGGCTTAACTCCCTCATTATTAAATTTCATTCCTAAATACTTTATTTCCTTTTGTCTATACTGTACTTTTTCTGGATTAAACTTAACATTCAATTCTTTTGCTTTGTTTATTACTTCTTCTAGCGCCTCATCATGTTCTTTTTCATTACTACCAACTATTAATATATCATCTATATATATAATTACATTTTTAATATGTCCAAAATATTTTGTTAAAGTCTTAAAAAATACTTCTGGGGCGCATGATATTCCAAAAGGTAATCTTTTAAATGCATAATACCCATAAGGTGAGCTAAAAGTACACAATTCACTTGACTCCTCACTTAGCGGTATCTGATAAAAACTTTCTCTAAGATCTATAACTGTAAAAATTGTTTTATTTACCAATTTTGCTCTTATTTCATCTACTGTAGGAATTAAAAAATAATCTCTTTTAATATACTTATTTAAATCAGTTGGATCCAAACATATTCTTAAATTACCATTCGCTTTTTCTACAATAACAATATTACTGGCAAATGACTTAGGATATTCAACTGGTTTGATTATTCCCTTATCACACAATGATTTCAGAGTATCTTCTAACTTTTTAAGAATAGATTGAGGTACTCTACGTGGTGGCTTAATTGTACATTGGTAATCTGGCATTAACCTAATAGTATATTCCTCACCAAACTTACCCAAGCCCTGAAACACACTCTCATTTTCTTTTATAAATTGCTCTTTGTCTGAATATTTTTCTTTTAACTGAACGTCTCTTACTCTTTTAATTAAATCTAATTCCATACAGTCACTTAACCCTAATAATGGTTCAACTTTACACTCAGGCTCTAAATCATTAATAACAACAAATTTTAATACACAATTTTTATTATTAACCATATATTCTAACGTTATCTCGCCAACTGCTTCAATAATAAATCCTCCATAAGCTTGTATTTTCACCTCATATTTTAGCATATTATAATTCTTATTTAACTTTTTTAAAATACTCAAAGGTAAAATATTTATATCAGAACCTGTATCAAGCTTAAACTTAATAACATTATTATCAACAATTATATTTTCTAACCAAGATTCTCTAACAAAACTCTGACATATATTAACTTTATTAATAAAAAATAATTGGTCACTACTATTATTATTTTCATTAGTAATAGCCCTAACCTGTCTATTATTATTTACATTATTACTTAAATTACTCTTATCTTTAACAATTCTTGACTTACATCCTACAGCAAAATGACCAAATTTTAAACATATCTTACATTTTTGATTGAAGGCTGGACAACTCCTAGGACCATGATGTCGACCACATTTCTTACAATCATACATTAAAACATTTATGTCATGATTTTTATATTTCATTGATTGACTGGACTAACCACCACTTTGTAACCCATTTGACTTATCATCAAACTTGTTGACATCTTTAGAATGTTCTGTTTTAGTATTACAAATAACAGCATCAACCATTGGATTACTTGACAAATAATTAGAATCACCCTTTGACATTACTACTGACTGGTTCTGTTTAGCAGCTTCAGCAGCTCTACAACACTCAACAGTCTGATCTAAAGTCAATTTTGGTTCTCTTAATAACCGTTCCTGAAGTCTCTTGTCATTAATACCAAGAACTATCCTCACTCTTAAAAGGGAAACGGCCAGACGACTGGGCCGTACAAAAGATAGATCCGGTAGCTCTTGCCGCTGAAAACAACGACCGATTAGCGCGCGAACGAGCCAAAAAAAATTATAACCACGCCACCGACCGATCACGTCAAAACTAAATACACAGTCGTTGACGTCATTTATTACAAAGCTACTATTCATTTCCCTCTGCTCCTGAAGTTCTTAGATAAAATTTAAATAATATTTTTGTAGCTACTTTTTTTAATTCTGCAGATATAAAAAATATTGGACATGGTAAATGTCATTATCATTTAATTGATATTAATGAATTAGAAAGTATTGGAATAAATTTTAGTATTAAATTTTTTTTTGGATTAGTGGTAGGGAATAACTTAGGAGTAAATACTGTTTTAGGTTTTGCTAGGTCTTTTTCAGCTAACTTTTTCTGTTGTTTTTGTATTTGTGACAAAAAAGTACACAAGTTATTGCCATTGAAAATACTAACTTACTTCGTAACAAATCTAATTATGATGAAAATGTTAGGGTAAATGATTATAAAAATACTGGTATTTATGAATACTCCATATTTAATAAAGTATATTCCTTCCATTTTGTTACTAACTATTCCGTAGACATAATGCACGATATTTTTGAAGGGATTTGTGTATACAATATGAAACATAACATATGTCAGTTTATTCAATCGGGATATTTTAATTTAGAAACTTTAAATAATAGAAAACAGGGATTTAATTATGGTGAGACAGATATTGGTAACATGTCCCCTCATATAAAGCAAATTAAGTTAGTTTAAAATTCAAAATGTCTGCCAGAGAAATGCAGACATTCGTTCATTATTTTCCACTAATCATAGGAGATTTCTTTTAATTATTATTTTATATGTAATTAGTAATAATATAAAAAATTAGAAGTGATAGAAAAAGTCACATGCAGATTTGAAAACAACGCGAGAAGTTGATTTAGAAAAGTAAATTTTTGCTTCAGATGAAAGTTCCTTGTAGTCCAGTGCATTTATTTATAGTAACAAACAATTTTTATTGAAAAATATTGTATCAAGCCCTTTAAATTTTTATACACGTAAAAGTAAAGCAAAATATAACTTTTTCATTATTTTTATAATTTCTCTGTATAAATTACAATATTAAATTACTGTCAATTATAGTATACAATAATATCAATTGTATACTAAATTTAATAATTATAATTAGTATTTATTCATTTATTATATTTTAAAATCAAAGACCTACTAATCAGGATATTATCAAAGAAATAAGAGTTAATGTTGCTTTTGGAATAATCCACCAATTTCTCTAATTGAAACACTATCTACAGATTTGCATCGAAGCGTTTTTTACGACAGTTACGTTTCTTAATCACTGTCAGATATCATCTATACTTGTCCCATCTATGCCTCAACCCCACTGTGCTACCGTTTTTTTTATGTATAACATTAAATGTGCTATCTTATAATAAACAATTTGTAAGCTATATTGTTTCAATGTTGATACTGATGACCTCAATGTATTAAAAGATATTAATGATTTCTCAGGTCCACCAATTTGTTTATATCATCTTAATGATAAAAAAAAACAGTTACAAGATTAAAAACATTTTTAAAGATTTATTGATTTTACATTTTAATATATATGTTTATTATTATTTTTATTTATATTTACTGTTTCAATATAATGTTAATTTCAAAGAAACTAATGGAATATGTAACTATGTTAAAATAATAATAACTTTATTTATGTAAATTTTATTCCTTATTAATTAGAAATTCACCTATTTATATTTGTAATTTGTATTTATCATTTATATTAATTAATTTTTTACATTAAAAATAAATATACTAAATAAATGGCAAAGTGTTAAAATTATTAAATTTAAATAATCTAACCATTTGTTATTATTATTCGCAAAAATTTATAGAAGATGGATTTTTATTTTATTACTAAGTAAAGCAGTTTTTAAAGTAATGCAAAGAAATTTTAATTTTTATGAAGTGCGCACAATGGACCACCAGGTCTGAGTGCATGGGCATTATGTCCACCTCGATAATAACTAAAACTAAAAAAAAAATTTTTATGAAGAAATAGAATTGTTTTAAAAGCCGAACTAATAATAATAGCAACCCCCCAAAAAATATATACCACATTTTAAGAACAGTATGTGTTTAGCGTTGATAATGGTAACATTGTTTCCGAAATACGTGACACAGGTTGATGTTGAAAGAAGAGAGTGGCGTCGAGCCGTTTATTGATTTTAAGAAACACAGGAAAACAAATAGAATACGCACAAAATGCTTAAAACTAAGTTGATTAAAACTAACAATAAAATGTAGATTATGAGGTGCCGAAGTAGCGATTCTAAACTGTTCGGTATTCGGAAAGACGATCACGTATCGATATCACAGATAGCTTGCGGTCGTGGTGTCACGGAGATAACTGACTGGACGTATTATTGCGGCGGGGTATACGACGCTAGGCATTTGTTGGACTTTACACCACGGCGATAACGCGTGTGTGTGACGGTCCGGTTTACAGTTAAGCGGTGGCCGAGAAGGAGCTGACACGACCGCGGGGTGTCAACGTGTGACAACGCCGTGGCCGTGTCAAATACCCCCCCACCAAGCCGCCGCTGTACTCTAGAAATCAAATGAAATAGCGCATATGGCGTTCCGTGTTTGGTCGAATATATTAGAGTGCGCATAGCGCAATAACAAGCCGCAATACTTACGTTGTATGTTTGATGGAGTGGGTGGTAGTGCCCCGCGGAGTGCGCGCAGCAGGGAGGGGGTTAGGGGTATAGACCCCGCGCGTAACGCGCTTGGGGTGGGAGGGAGCTCTTACTCGGCCGGGGGCTCCGGCTGTGCTGGGGAGGTGGGGCAGGAGAGGAACAGGTCCATCTCTCGAACCAGGCCGTCGTCCTCTAGCTCCATAGGCGTCTCCGGCTGCTCCTCCTGTGCTGGTGTTGACGCCGCCAGCACCCCGTCCACATACATGCCCGACGGCCGGCTGACAATAGCTGTTGTCACTGCTGGGGCTGCTGCTGATGTTGTCGGTGTTGTTGCTGTTGTCGGTGGTGCTGTTGTTGTTGTCGGTGTTGTTGATGTCGGGTTTATGGGCGGTGTAAGGTCCCCACCGACGACGACCCCCCAACGTCGAAGCATATACTCCTTGTACTTCTTCGTCCGGCGTTCCCGCTCGGACGGAGAGTAGTACCGAGGAGTTTTGCTAGTCGTAGGGGTAGGCGTCGCTGCGGACCCTCCACTGCCCCTGGCGTATGGATGCTTCGGGCGACGTGACGTGGGTGGGGCGCTGTCTGGCCGCGTGGCGCGGAAAGACAGTAGAGGCCGAGGGGAGGGGACCACCCGCGTATTGCTTGTGGACGCCTCCCCTGGGCGGGAGAAGTGTTGGGACGCCACATTTATTACCCGACGAGGTTTGGGAGAAGGGGGAGCTTGGACTCCCGGGGCGGACGGGGAGGCGCGGGGGAGTGAGTTTAGCGCGATTTGTATTTCGCGCCTCACCTCCTCGCGACCCGCCCGCACGCCCCGTTCGTAGTGAGCTCGAGCCACCGGGTTCCTTAATACCTCGGGTAGGGGGGCGCGCGAAGCATCCTCCGCCGAGCGCAGTACGCGCGGGATGGGATCCGTCGGGAGGCCCACCCGGCCCGCCAATTGGCCAACCAACCGTTGGACCTCCTCGACGGATAAGGGGTTGGCTGGGTTGTTGTTGTTGTTGTTGTTGCTCATGCTGAAAAATAACAAACAAAAAAAAAAAAACTACTAACTTTGCTTTTTCATACATGAGACATGAATTTTCCTTGGTGGGGACTGGTCCGTTAAGAACACGCCTTTACCGAGGCGTTCGGTTAATCTCACGGGGCCCCACCACTTCGGTGCAAAACCCGCACAAAATTGTCTATTCGCGTTCGATAAGTGATGCGCTTTATAGTACACAACGTCGCCGACCGCGTATTTTGTTTTGATATGAACGGGCGGCGGTGTTATTTTTGTGCTAGTGATTTGTCGTTCGCGCTCTAACCGGTCGTTATTGATAGTAGCAGGTGCTACCGGCTGTACTCGCTGCAGTAGCCAATCACCCGGTTTCTTACCTTCTCTACCTAATACGAGTACGGACGGTGCGTATCCGGTAGTCTCGTTGCGCCTATTGCGTAGAGCGAACAACAAAGGTGGCAATTTTGTATCCCAAGATGTATGACTCGACTCTGTTAATAAAGCGCGAAGTCCTTTTTTTAACTCTTGGTTCTTTCGTTCTACTGGGTTAGCCCGTGGGTGGTATATCGGTGTAGTCCAGGCCTCTGCCCCCCACCGATTTATCGCGTCGATCATTTCTTTGGACACGAGCGCACGGCCGTTGTCGCTTAAAATTACTCGCGCGTAACCGTAGCGTGAGAAGAACTCCCTTTCTAGCGCGTCTACAATCGTTTTCGTTGTAGGTGCGCCTATGGGGTACGCTTCGGTCCACCTGCTGAAGCAGTCAGTTACTACTAATAGGTTCGTCTTGCCCCTTGGTGTTCTAGGGTACGGTCCCATCAGGTCGATACTGATTACTTCCCACGGCTGTCTGGGTTGGCGCTTGACCATCGGGTCTTCGGGGCGCCTGTTTAAGGGCTTAGTGCACGCGCAAATGTGACACGATTTTACGTACATGCGCACGGCGTTTCTTAACCCTTTACAGTAGAACCGTTGTTTGACCGCTCGGTGCGTTTCTCTCCATCCGGGGTGACATGATAGGGGGTCGTCGTGGTACCGCCAAATTATATGTTGTACTTTGTCGGTGGGGACGACTACCGGTGTGTCAGCGCCTAAATGAATACGTAAGATCCNATACGAATACGTAAGATTCCGTCCAACAAAAAAAATTCGTCCTTATTTTCCGCGGCCGGTTTTTCGTTCGCTATCGTAAGTTGCGCGTTTAAATTTTTTATGACCGAAGAGAGAAACTGGTCGTTGTTTTGCCACTCTCGTACTTCCCCCCCCCTGTGAACGGTCGTTCGCAGATCGCGTCGTTTGCCTCGGTAATGGAGTAGATATTATCGAGAGTGGCAGTGGTTGTGGGCGGACTAGACATTGGCGCGCCTAACAAATTGTCGTCTAGGGCGTCTTCGTCAACAGGGGGTCCGTCCGTTGGGTGACGTGACAACATGTCGGGTGCTTCGTTGTGTTTACCCGGTACGTGTGTCGTGGTGAAATTTAGGTTACCCAGGTGTAGCGCCCAGCGGGTCAACTTACTGTTTGTTCCCTTCGCTTTGTGCAGATAAGTTAGCGCTGAATTATCTGTATATAACTCGAAAGGGGCGTACTCTAAGTATGACCTAAATTTATCGGTTGCCCATATGATCGCTAGACATTCGCGCTCGACAGCGGCATAACGTTTTTGCGTATCCGACAGCTTTTTACTCGCGTAAGCGACGATATCCTTTTCCCCCGGTTTTTGTCCGTGTTGAAATAATACCGCCCCTACGCCTAGTTCACTAGCGTCGGTTTGTAGGCAAAAGATCTTTGTGTAGTCGGGGGAGGAAAGGCGTGGTGAGTCGCATATTGCCGATTTAATGTGCTCGAAAGCGTGTTGTTGTGGTTGAGACCACGACCATTTCTCCCCTTTCTTTAACAGGTGGGTGAGGGGATCGATGCTGTCCGCATAGTTGTCGACAAACTGACTATACCAGTTGCATACCCCTAAAAATTTTCGTATATCCCTTACATTGCGTGGGACTGGAATATCGCGTATAGACTGTAATTTTTCCGGCTCTTTGTCTATGCCTAACCCATGCACCCGGTGTCCCAAAAAAGAAATTTCAGAATACCCGATCTTACACTTTTTAGTGTGGCATGTTAGGCCATGACGCATTAGGCGTTCTAGAACCTTGCTAAGGTGGTCTAGATGTGTTTCGACACTGTCCGAAAAAATTAAAATATCGTCCAGATAGACTTGAACGAAGTCGTCGATGTACCCCCTAAGTACTTCGTTCATTAAGCGTACGAAGGTCATGGGTGCATTCTTAAGTCCGAACGGAAGTACACGAAACTGAAATAAGCCCTTTTTCGTTCTGAACGCGGTGTATTCGCGTACGTTTTGCTGTAAAGAGCATTGCCAGTAACCCGATTTTAAATCGAGTGACGTGAAAACTTTCGCCCCCCTCATGCTTCTAATCATTTCGTTTAGATTAGGCATGGGATACGCGTCTGATACGGTCACATCGTTAAGTCGCCTATAGTCGACACATAAGCGATATGAGCCGTCTTTTTTCTTGGCCAGCACGACTGGTGCTGACCAAGGAGAAGTGCTGGGTTCTATGAGCCCTTGTGATTCCATGTCGCTTACCATTTCGTCTATCGCTTGTTGTTTGTGTAGCGGGTACGGATATGGTTTTTGCGCGATAGGCGTCGGGTCTTTTAGAACGATGTTGTGTTCGATAAGCTTTGTGCGACCTACCGTGTCGTTAAAAACTGCAGAATAATTTTTTATCGTGCGCGTTAATAATGCGTGTGTATGTGGGTCGCCTGCTATATCTAGTGTTGAGAGATCTACGTCGGGTAGCGTGTGCTGAGTACTCGCTTTCCAACAAGCTGTAGTGCGTCGCGTCGCGCCCAAGTGAATTGTACATGCAGCGTAGTCCCAGGAGACTTCCTGTTCTGTTAGAAAGTCGTGTCCCAGGAGTACGTCACAGTACAGATTCTCTAAGATAACAGCCGTAAACTTTACTTGTAGATCCGCAATTTTTGTTATAAAAGTGGCTGTGCCGGCCGTGTGTGATGTGTGGCCGTCAGCTAATCTAACTGGAGGTGTTTGTCCGTTGTGCACAATTCCGAATTTGTGAGCTGTTGCTCGAGTGGTATACGATTTTTGCGCTTGAGAGTCAAGTAAGGCCGTCACAAAACCGTTGTCAAATTCCAACTCCACAGCGGGAGTAGTAATTTTACGCGGGCGTGTTTGTGCGGCAGTACTCAAGTGGTTAGCGGTTCGAACGGGGGGCGTTGAAACGGTTTGTTCGCCGGCAGTATTAATTGCCATAAGCGGGTAGGCCGTTCCTGCCGTATTCCCCTCCCCCACGGTGGTCAACATATCGTTGGCCCGACTCGCGCTATAGTCGTTACCCATTAAGTCTACGAACGCGTGACAAGTATTTCGAATAATCTTATGGTCCTCATTGTGGATGAGGGGTGTGATGGTGGTGAGGTGTGGTGCTACAGCGTGCCCACTATAATGACAGTGGGGCTGTAGGGGTGTTGGTGAAGTTGGTGTGAAAGAAGTGTGCATAAGATTATTCAAAATAGAATCATTTTGTTCGCAGGAAGCGCATCCGTTTTTGCTACCCGAGTTGACTGAACGGGCGGTTTGGTCGGCGCGCTGATTAGTGCGATGATGTTTTGAGCGGAATTGCGTTTGTGAGCCCGGAGAATGGACTAGTTTCTCCGTGGCTGTTGTCCGTTTCCCGGCACTGTCGGTCTGTTAGGACATTCGCTTTGCCAGTGATCGGCTCCGCAAAAGCGACAGGGTCGGGGGGGACGCGGATCGGGCGGTGCGTTTGGCCGCGGTCGCGTTCTTTGCGGTTGCTGCGAGGGTGATATGGCAGCCACGTACGGATTAGCGTTATTAATAAGTCTGCCCGTACGTATCGGTCGGTCTAGATCGTTCGCGATTACGCGTAAGTCATCTAAGGTACGCGGACATCGCATTCTTACGTTACCGTAATATTCGTTACGTAACAGACTGACTACCCGATCTACAATGTGCTGCTCAGAGCAACTGGGGCGAGCGCGCATCGCTAGACGTTGTTTATTTATGATAAATTCAGTCATGCGCTGATGTGGCCCCTGTTGCGTCGTCATGAGTTCGTTTTCTAATTCAGCTTGTATGCTGTTGTTATCGAACGTCGTGAGAAATTCCCTCGCAAATTGTCGCCAGGACATGTTGTTTAACTTGATGGTTTCCCACCAAGTTAACGCCATGCCCTTTAAAAATTGAACGCCCGTTTTTACCCATAAATCGCGATCTATGCCTGCTTGGGACAATAGGTTTTCTACTTGTTCTAGAAACTCGCGTGGGTCCTCCTCATATTTTCCCGTAAACTCGGGGGAAGGGGGTCGTACAATAGGCGAATAATTAAGTGGCCCGATCGCCGTGTGCGTGAGCGAACGGGTCGATGATGATGGGGACAAATCGCGTGTCGGTGGCGCGAATGTGTTCGTCGCGAAGTGCCCCGGTTGTTGTGGGCGCGCGTCTACGTTGTAAACCGCGTCGTGCGTGTTCGCTCGAAGAAGCGATGGTGACGTGCGCGGAGTCTGACTGGCTAATCGCTGTAGGTTAAGCGCTTCGCGCTCCTCGATTTCAGTCAGGCGCTGCTGTAGGGCCGCGTCATTTTGAGTCGTGTTGCTGGGCCCAAAAGTTACGCGGCTCGGTTCGGACAGACGCGCGTAAGTAGAACGGTTGGTTTCCGTCGTTTCTCGCGTCATCTGTGCGGTGGCGAACGGATTACGTATAGTCTCGTTGTGTGTATCGCGGCTTACAATCGTTTGTGAAAGAGATCGTATTTCTTGCGTAATGCGAGACAGTGCTCTCTCCACTTCAGACATGCGCGCATCCATACGTGTATTAAGAGATATATCGCGTAAACTTTGTCTTACTGCGCCTATCTCCTCCGTTGCGTGGGATATTGAACGCACCGTATATAAGTCATCGGTATACGCTGCGTTCACACTACCGTTAGGACGGCCGGTTGCCAGAGACCATTCGTGTAGAGATTCCTCTTCAGGGTCCTCTCGCGCCAGGTTAACCGGTCGGTCCGCGTATGTGGTTGGGTCGACGGTCCGGCATAACGCGGGGACTTCGTCAACCTGAGACTCGCGTTCCGTCGCGAGCGTCTCGTAATGAAGCGGCGGGCGTTCGGGCAGAATCGCGTTCGATGGGTCTAGCCCCTCACTGCGTAAACTATTCTCCAAGACTGCCAGCATATCGCTTTTTGTCGTGGGGCCGTTTAACTGCCTATAAGCGCATTCGCGCAATAATTCCCGACGGTTCATTTGAGCTAGAGTTTTACCGGTCATAGTGAACGTTCCTTACGTATTTATCGAAAATAAATAAAAATAAATAAAAGAAACGCACGCGCTTATTTGTTTTTGTTATTTAGAAATACGATATCGCCTATCGCGAGAATACGCACTGTGTGTTCGCGTATGAACGTCAACAATGTCGGCCGTTTGTATTATTATTGTTGTTATTATTGTAGTTGTGATTGCAATAATATTGTGGTATTGCGTTGATAGTGGTATGCTATAGCACTATGATACTAAATAGTATATGGAAATGCGATTATTACGATAGAAGTCGTATAATGATTGTGGAGGTCGGAAATAATAATACAAACGATTTTATGGGACCCGGTTATTAAATGTAACGATCGCTGTGGTATGATAACGCGTATGATCACCCTACCTGCCTAGCGGTTTTATCGAAACACTTAAATGATTGTGTTCGCGGCGTTGTGCGACTCAAGGTCGTCAGTGCGCGTGTATGTATAAATACGAAATCGCCAGAAATCCACTTTTACCGTGTTTAAAAATACACCGAAGGTGGAAATCTACTACTCGCGAGGTAGATAGTATTTATACGACCGGGTGGGAATTTCACTGCTGTCACCAGTGAAGTAGAAGTTAAAAATACCCGTAGTACAGGGAGGTAAGGAAAATTTCGCTGTCTCTTTTAAATAAAATTCAAAATTTATGTAATTAATATAAAATGTCAGCAGTATTTTCTTACCTTATTAAAAAGTTATTCCGGTTTTGATTTCTGAGCCGGGGAGCCAGTTGATACGTGTTATTGTTAAAGAATTTACACGCACAAGGTTGCTAAGTATTAACGGGCGTGACCCGAAGTTTATTATTTAAATTACAACAAAAGAAGAAAAACAAACAAAAAAAAAACAAAGTATTGAAAAATGATCGAACTCGGTTGTATGGTTCACAGTCAATAGATGTTTTTAAAAAAAAAAAAAAACACTTAAGAAAAATGATGTGTATCCGTAGTGCAAGTATCAAGAAGCACAAAAAAAAAACGAAGACCGAAAAAGGAATCGCACATAAAGGCGTCACGGAGATAACTGACTGCACGTATTATTGCGGCGGGGTATACGACGCTAGGCATTTGTTGGACTTTACACCACGACGATAACGCGTGTGTGTGACGGTCCGGTTTACAGTTAAGCGGTGGCTGAGAAGGAGCTGACACGACCGCGGGGTGTCAACGTGTGACAACGCCGTGGCCGTGTCAAATTTCAAGTTAGAATATCACACTTTTGACTAGATTAAATAAACAATGCGAGCCCTATGGTTGTAAAATATAGCGAATAATTAAGAAAGGAATCGCACAAAAATTTCTATTAAAAATATTCAAACTACTTTTCAACAACTCAAAAAAACTATAACTATATTATAACTCTAACCTACAAAATTACTGTGTTATGTTGTGTGTAACAGGTGGCCGGCTGATTGATAACGTTGCTGGAACCGTTATCAATCATGGTAGTGGTTATACTGTTGTCGCGCACTGTTAGGAGGGACTCAGTATCATTAGCGGCATGGTGAAACGTATTATAACGTTTTACGTGGCCTCAACATGTACTATAAAATAAAAAAAAAAATTTGTCCCAACGACCTATCTACTATGTGCAAATTGCTGTCAAAATTTAAAAAAAAAAGTAATATTTGCGATAAAAATCACCTTCTATAAGGATGTTTTTTGTACTTAAAACTGCCATAACTTTTTCAAATATTAACAAATCAAAATAATATTTTTTTATATTGAAACCTTAGGTAATTTCCTTTCGTTTGATATCATTTTTTTAACACGCTTATATTAGTTTCACCTGTATGTATGTATGTATGTATGTATGTATGTATGAATGTATGAATGTATGTATGTATGTATGTATGTATGTTTGTATGTATGTATGTATGTATGTATGTATGTATGTATGTATGTATGTATGTATGTATGTATGTATGTATGTATGTATGTATGTATGTATGTATGTATGTATGTATGTATGTATGTATGTATGTATGTATGTATGTATGTATGTATGTATGTATGTATGTATGTATGTATGTATGTATGTATTAACACGGCACCACCTTTTGCTTTAGGCTGGCGCTCACCCGTGTCTCTCTCGATATCAGCCGTCCAGCTATTAATATGACAATCGGTTGTCATCGGTCGTCACCCCGCCCTTGACACTGAGATAAGGCCGCCGCCGAATATGGATTACCGATATTGCGGTCTGTTGCGTTTCGACGTTCACCTCGACTGGTGGATCTTTTTTTTGGTGTGTCTTTATTTTGGTGTTTTTTTTTGTTTTTTTCGACGTTTACCTTAACTGGTTTGTACTCTAGTAGCGTCTCGTGGTGTATTGTTTGTTCGTCTCTCGATTTTTAAGTTTGCGACTTGGTAAAACACATTGTACTAGTGCCCTTATTTAACGGTGTTACCTCCTAAAACTAAAGGATACAACCGATTACGGCAACCGTAATTGACCCGTGTAATACTGAGCTCATCGGTTCGAATTGTTACGAGTGGTTGTCATAATTTTATAACTCATTGAAAAAGAACGGTATTTATATAAATATACATATATATAGTTATATCACTTACGAGTGCGTGCTAATTGGATACGCGTTAGTATGTATGTATGTATGTATGTATGTATGTATGTAACTCTCCAAACGCCACGCGTTATCGCGTATCCCGTCGTCTACACTAGACTGTCATAACGCATTCATTTCACCCCACGTCTCGCTCATTACACGCCGAAAATACTATTCCTGTATAAATTTATTTTTGGTTATCGTACCCGTACACGCGTGCTTGTCATCAATATTATATATATATAAACAAATTTTTATTTTGACTGACCATTATCATCCGCGTGCATACAGCTTACGTATATATCCCTACCGCCGTTTATACCTCAAGTATAACGTTAGTCCGACCCGCCCGCCGACAAAACACAGCTATACCCAGTGCATGATACGTTTACGTACTTAAGTCGCATTATTTGTATATATATATATATATTCTAATTACTATTAAAATTAATATATTAACACGATTTATTCTAATTAAGAGATATAAAGTATTCATTCCGATTACGAGGAATGATTTCCGTATCGTCATTTTTCGTCACTACCTCCACGTTCCGGGAGTGAGTAAATTACGCGCCTGCTGCTTTCCTTGAATGTGGTAGCCGTTTCTCAGACTCCCTCCCCGGAATCGAACCCTGATTTCCCGTTACCCGTAACAACCATGATATTGATAGTAACTACTATCATAACATGAAACTAAAAAGTAAAAAATAAATATAGTTTAAAAAACTAAAAAAACACGCTTTTAAAGTACATCGAACTAAAAAGTTAAAAATAATTTTTAAAATAATTATGAACAAAAAATACTAGTATTATTGTGATAAAAGCGTCGGGCGCTCAATATACGAAAAATATGGCACAAAGCACCCACGCTTTTATCACAATAATACTAGTATTTTTTGTTCATAATTATTTTAAAAATTANAGCGCCCGACGCTTTTATCACAATATTACTGGTATTTTTTGTTCATAATTATTTTAAACTTATTTTAAAAATTATTTTTAACTTTTTAGTTCGATGTGCTTTAAAAGCGTATTTTTTTAGTTTTTTAAACTATATTTTTATATAAAATTAAATATATCGCGTCACCTCACATTAATGTATATCTAACAACAATATATTTGTAATTCTTATAATTTCATATTCATACATGTATAACATAATACATACAGATATTTTATATACTTCATTGAGTAGTAGTCATTAAATAGTTGTGTGTAGTATTTATAACAATGTATGTAATTCATCATTAATGATATAGTATATAATACCTGCAACTACATATATTTTATATTTATTTTAAATCAAATATTTAGTTAAAAAGCACTAAATATCATATTTCACGGATTTTCACAAAATATTCAGTTTTTTAATATAACTCGTTAAATTTAGTATTCATAGAAAAATGTTTCTTATTATTTNTTTAATATTCATAGAAAAATGTTTCTTATTATTTTTTTTAGGACATACATTTAGAATAAAAAAATATTAATAAGACTTTTTATAATATCTAATGTTTTGCCTATAATTGAATCGATAAATTTTAAAAGAAGACTTTTACACATTTTCCAAAATAAATGCTTAATATGACTAAATTTTAAAATAGGACTGAAATATTGTAAATTGTTAAAATGTAATAAAAATAAATTTTAACATTATATGGCGTTACAAACAGCTTCTCATCTACGCATCGAAGCTTTAAACTGAATAAAATATATAAAAAATTATAAACACTCAAATTAATTTATTCTTAAAAAATAAAAATTTTTAAGAACTTAATAGCAGTATAAAAATATATAATAATAGTAATAAACTTATTGATTTATAAAAACCGTTTTTTCATAGCTTCGCGGCTTAACCTTGGGTATTGTTGACGTTAGTAATGAATGATCTAAAAATTGAAAATTATACAGTTTATATTTAAATAGTAATGATGCTCTAGGATTGGAAATTATAAATTTTCACAGTATATTCATTGATATAATATAAGGTAATATGTTACCTTTAATAAGTATTGTTTTTGGTCCTCATTTCTAGTGAACTTGTTATTATAATTTGAATTACATTTACACCTCAGTCGACAACATCATTTACTGTTTTTAGTGATGATAAGAGTTCTTTTGCTTTATTATATTCAGGAATGTTTTACTATTCAATTGGATTATTTCTAAAAAAAACAAAATAAATTTGATAACGTTCAAACACTTTCAAAGTCTTCGAATTTCAAACTCAACTTTTTGATAGATTTACTAACTACATCTTCTTTAAAACTGCTCATCTCTTGTCCTTTTAAAATAACGTTTGCCATTCGACTTTTTGTTGTATAATCGATGCGATCATCAAACAAAGAAAATACAAAACATTTTTCATTTAAGTACCATAGATGATTTAGATTTTTTTATAGGCAATAACTTTACCATACTTAAATTTTTTTATTTTTTAATCTATTATCATTAACAGGCTCGTTTATAAGTTCTGGAGCTGAAATCCATGTATGTATATAACATTTTACTATAAAACAGAATATTTCTTCTAGTAATTATTTTCTTTAAGTGTCATTTCAAATTGATTGGAAAACAATAACATTTTCATGCAATAAATGGCTTTAGCCCTTCATAGGGCTAGGTAAAAAGTCCTTGGTTTATGAAATTTTGTTCCATTTGGCAGTGTTCCTTCTAAAAAAATTAGTACTATTTCTAGAAACTCTTTGTAGTCATCCCTCGGGAAACTGCAATCAAGTTTTTCAATACAGTAAAATACAATTTCATTAACTACATCTTTTACATTTGAATGACAATCACCAAATGTCGAGTATATTCTATATTTGCTTAAATCCAAAATTTTCCAATGACATTTAAATCTTTTAAACAAAGGAATATCAGGGCCAGACATCACAGTAAGTTTTGAATTTACAAAAACCGCTTGTAATATTATTTCAAATATATGATGGTGCCATGCAAAAAAAAGAATATATCGGTTAAATAGTTGATCCAAAAGAGCACAAGACCCATTTAATCGACCAGTATTTGACGTTGTAGTATCAAACACAAAAGCATGAATTTTGTCAACTAAACATCAATCTTGTAATGTAGTATAGGCAGTAGAAAAAATTTCTTTTCCAGTACTATGCGGAAGGTCAGGAACTCCTAATAATTTTTCAACATTAGGAGCTGTAGTTATAATAGGAAGACGATCAACTGTTTCGGTATTTTTTAAATTAGAAAGTAATTTCGAATCCCAGTGAAGAACAACAAAATTTAAATTTAGGTTAAACAATTTAGACATTAAAATCTTTGACAGCTGTTCTCGATAATTTTCTCGATTCCTTTTAATAGTTGATCTATTAATTGCAAAACGGGAAAAATCTACCTGAAGACTTTCTATGACTATTGTTAACAAATGTAATAAAAAAAAAAAAAAATTTTAAAAATAATAATAATATAAATAAAAATTCTGAAATTGTAATATTGTTGGTGATAGAAATAATGAATACATTTAATACATATTTATTTATTAAATTTATAATATTTTTTTATTAATTTATTCTCTTTAATTTTTATTAATTAATTTTCTAATTAATTGTTTAATTTTCGTATTTAATTTTTATCAATGGTTTATTACCAATTGATTGTTGGAGGTTCGAAATCATAGGTTAAATTGTGCTTACCTTATTTCCTACGTAACGCAATAATATTTCAAATAATCCAATGTTGATTTTGGTATTAAATATACTACGTATACGATTTACACTATACGTCATATAGTCAATATAATTACTTACAAAAATGATTGAAATTTTAAATAATAAAATTTAGCTACACAAAATCTATGACTGATTTTTCTTGTTTTTAAAAATTTCTAAACACTATATTTTATTAGAAATATAATTTATAATTTGCCCTTATTAATTTTAACATTTATTGAATAAGTATTTTTTTGAGAGAGTATTTTTTTTTATTGAGAGATCGACACCAATATTTCTCAAATCTTCCTATGGCCTGACCATAATAAGATTCAAAAATATTTATATCTATGTAAAAAATTTATCAAGGCGTAATTGTGGTAGCCCAATGTGTCTCGGGGCTAGCGCCTGGGTCAATCCATGCCAAATCATCTAGAAGTGGTTGCACGACCATCACATGTTTTTCTGAAATTTTCAGGGTTTATTCATATGCTATATTTAGATTAAAACATTTTTTTTTTATGATCTTCCC